AAAAAAAAAAAAAAAAAAAGTAGTTTTTCTGAAGAAAAGTGGCATTAAAAAAATGAAAACACACACCAGGTTAAAAATACAGAAATATACAGTAGAAGCCAATGGTGAAATAAAAGAGAAACTCTCTGTCCAGGATGAAATGAAGACCAGGCATAACCCAGATCTCCAACTCAGCCTATATAATACCTTCCCTTATGTTCCCTTTGCCAGTCCTCCCAACAACCTGGTCCTCTTTACAGCTATTGCTACCACCCTGGGGACTTTCCCACTGTCAGTTTCCAAATATCAAAGGCAACTTTGCTTTACACTCTGCCTTCAGAGTACAAATAGGGCCCAGAAGAAATATCAGCTGTTGAAAATCTGATTTTCTGTAACTCTGACAACACCTCTAGCCACAATTCTAGGCAGCAGGAAGACAAGTAAACTGCTGAGGAAGCTGGAATTCTGCTCCTGAAGAAAAGGCAGTTATGTGAACAGTCTTAAATACAAGTTAGGAGTTGAAGGAGAGCAAGAAATAAAAGCTACAGAAATGGGAAAATATCAACTGGGGAAGAATAAGAAAAGTAAAGGCAATGAAGAGAATAGACTGCAATTCCAAGCTCTAACAAGTGTCATCCAACTAGGAAGGGATTTTTTTCTTTTTTCTTTTTTTTTTAGCCCAAGCTCACAAGAAGAATGTGGAAGTAATGGGAAACAAAAGACTGTGATTGTTCAACTTCTTACAGAATCTTCACCATAAAGATTGTTAAATGTTTTCACTTCTTTCTATTGCTTTCCAAGATTATAGAGAAACAGACACTTGCGAAAGTTCATTCATTGGTTGCTTGACCTAAAACTATCTCTTCAAGAAGGATATAATGAATAACACACCTAATCAATAACAAAAGGTGAATGAAAATGGTTATTTTGACTGGCATCCCTTACTATGAAAGTGTTATACTGACAGACATCACAAAAAATGTGAAACTCGGTTTTAGTACAAGCTAGTCAATTTTCTATGTAAAATGGTCAACTTTCAGATAAAATAAAGAAAGTTTTACCCTCAGTGCCCCTCCCACCACTTTTGCTATTCGATCAACAGCAACCAAACTCTCGAGAAACAGGTGGCTCTATTAGATGCTGGAAGACGTGCTCATCAAATGACCACAAAATTTTCATAACCAAGGCTAAGAACTTTCAATTCTTATGAACCCCGAAAAGTCTCATAGAAAGTACATCCAGTCTATCACGTTCAGTGAATAGATACTGAAGAATCAGAACTGACTAGCTTTCAGATCTGGTACCTAGTATCACGTTCAAATCACTATGAAAATGAAACGCTTAGAAATACCAGCAAACAGCATGTTGTGTTTCCTTTTCCACTTGAAACTAGCATGTGTACCCTACTGACTGCCTTTGGAATTGCTAAAAAATTATCAATTTTTGTTCATTTCACAAACTAAAAGCCTACTTGTTCAGTCCTATCAAAAGCTGGCTGCAGATAATGCTGTATTCAAACCCAAAGATAAATAATCCCTCTATTTTGTCCAGCCTCTCTAAACTCAGTAACAGAAACAATTAAAAAGCCACAAATAAGCCAGAGGCCCATTCTTCCCCTGATTTTCTTCCTCTTTTCCTCTTCCTCCCTACCTTGAAATGCATGCAACTTTAAGCTAGGTAAAGGGATGTGAAAGTAGTTCAGTACTCTGTTCCCTGTCCAACCCTGAAAGAGAATGAAATTTATTACAGTCCCAAAAGACATCAGAGACACCAACATGCCATTTTCTTCAGACTAACACTACTATTCTGGAGTAGACACTTTTTCCTAGCACCTCACAAATCCGTTCTAAAACCATACACTGATATTCTTAAGGACAAGGAATCTTGACAGAGAAACATGTGATATTACTGACTGCAAAATGTAGTCCTTGTGATATATGAAATGTTTACAAGCCCTGTGGGTTAGGAAAAGACCATTATATCAACGATGGTGTAGTAACATTCTAACTGGTCTAAACTCAGAAGGAATTTAAAAGTAGCAAGATTAGTGCTGTAAAGAGTCTAAATTAATGTGTTCCTGGATGCCAAGGGGTAACAGAAGGTTTAGCTTCCAAGCCAGTGGGGCTCTGGAAGGGGGACAATGCAAAGTCCTACCTGGTAGGCATCAGGAATGTTGACCGTTTCTCCATGCTCCCCGACATAGCCAATAATGCCTTTGCCCCAGGGGACCTGCACTTCGTTTGAGTTCTCTGTGCTGCTGCAGGGCAGCAGTGGGGTTCCTGCATGCACATCAAAGAATTTGGAGACCAAGCTCTTCTTGCCAGCAGCTGCCCCTTCCACCAGGAAGAGAGAGCAGCGGTCAGCGTCCACCATGAGGCAGACAAAGATGAGGATCTTGTAGCTCAGGCTGGTAAGGTCAAGGTCATTGGAGATATCCTTGACCAGTTCCAGGAAGAACTGACGCTCATTATGCTTTTTGAGGTGGCACTTGTAGTCCATGGCCGTAGGGGGGTACTGAGGCAGATTCACCCTGGATTCCAGCAGGGCACTGAGAATGTGGGCTGTGGTGGGGGGCAGGGAGCTGGCCTTCCGGAGAAGTGCCCTCCGCCGCACACTGCTCAGGGGCTCCTGGGCCCGGGAGGTCACCTGTTCATCGTAGGTCCTGTTCACGTGGATGGCCTTGGAGCGAGCAAAACTCTTCCTTAGCTCTTTCTGAGAAGCTCTCCGCTGCAGGCTCCCATCGCCCCCGCTGCCACTGGCCCAGCTGGGACTCAGGGGAACCCCACCACAGTCCCCGCCGCCCAGAGTGGGCTGGCTGTTGGCAGAGCTATTTGGTCCAGGGCCAACACCAACACTGCCGCTGCGTCTGCCACCGCTGTGAGCCAAGCTGTTGGTGCTGGCCACTGCGGGCCTCGGGCCTACAGCCCCCTGACTCTCACTGTGTCTCTGCAGCCACTTCTCCACCATCTCCTGCTTCCCCTTCCGCATCAGGTAATCTTCAAATAACTCTGGGTGTCTGTCCAGGAAAGTTTCCACTTCCCCAAAGTCCAGGTGTGAGGCCGTCATGGTCCCAGACACAGCTTCACTGCCACTCTACGCTTGGACCTAATGTTTACCTACCCCAGCCCTCTAGCTGGTCCAGCACATGTCTGTCCCCACCAGTATTCCCAGTTCGGTGAGAGATTCTGCTGAGCACTGGAATCTCAGCTGGGAGGTGCCCCTTCCTTCGGGCTCAGAGAGTGGCTGGCAAGAACCCCACCCCCTCGCCCTGCTACTCCTGCTTCGCACAGGTGCCCCCCACTGAGCTGTTGCCGTGGCCACAGTTCCCGTCTGGAAACCCGGAGCTATCGCTGTTCGTGCTCAGGCTGCTGCTGCTGCCGCTGCCGCTGTAACCGGATGAGTGGACCACTGTGAAAGGGAGGTAGGGCAGGACACGCCCCTGAGTGAGGCACGGAGCCCGGAGGGAGGGAAGAGGTGGGAGGAGGGAGGCTCCGGCGCCCGGACCAGCCAAACTCCACCGCCCAGGATGCCAGGCGGTTCCTGGAATATTCTCTGGACCGCCGGAATCGGAGTCCGGGAAAAGGGCCGACTCCTGATTGGAACACGATTAAAGGGGGAAATGCACCTTGTTCCTTCCCCCTCCTCCCTTCCTTACCTCCCTAGCCCTCCCAATTCCCCACCCCTTAATCCTCCCGGCGTTTCCAGGAGGCCCCAGGGGAGCCCAGTGGGAGCCCAAGTACAGGGAAAGTGTTGGTGTTTTGCAGGGATCAGACCCAGAAGCTGACTCCAAGGAAATGAGGATGCTCAGAGACAGGGAAGATTATTTTCCTGTGATGCGACTGTGCACTGTTGGTTCCTAGGATTCCTGGGACTGCCCACTAATACTGCCCAGCTCCTTGTGGGCGTTCAGTAAATATTAATGGAACTGGATTTCCCCGAAATTAGCAAGTGAAGTTTCCCATCTGACTTACGACTTTAACCAAATTCATGGACCTGACTGAGGAAGTGGAGAAAGGTGGTACATGCAGGGAGGGTGTAAAAATACAGCCCCTTGGATTAGGCGGACCCTGCCTAGCAGGGGGCACATAGCAAGGTGGGCTTCAGGGCCTCAGGGGGCTTCTTTCCAAGCCAGTCCTGCATACTGGGTGGTTTCTCTTCTTTTCACGAATGACCTACCATCTCTTCCTTCTTTCTCCACTCAGTCTGGCAAAGCCACCAATGCTTCCTTTACTCCCAACATCCTAGGTCTTGTGGGCAAGGATTTCTCTTCTGTGAGAGGCTTTTCTTTCTACAGACCCAGGGATGTTCCAGATATGGCTTGTCTCTGCTAGCTAGACTGAGAATAACATCAAGTTTCCCTTGGGGCTTTTCTAAACCTAGTGGTTAAATATAGGTGATTTCCCAGGAAAGAATGGCAGGCTGATTACACTTTCTTGATGCTCAGAGGTCTCCTCTTTTGTGAGAAGCAAAAGCAGACTAGGAACTATCCAGTTCCCTCTGACAGCAGGACAATCTAGATGTGCTCTTACAGAATGCTAGCAATTAGGGTAATAGAATAAAGAGCTAAGTAGTGACTTTTTACAGTTTTCCACATGGCAGGCTTATACGGGTGACTTACACGATAAGTAAAGATTACTGCCAGAAGATGTCCTCAGAGCTAAGAAGACAAAGTGTATCAAGCACTTACTATGTATTGATCACTTTATTATTTTTTTCTTAAGTAGGCTCCACACCCAACATGGGGCTTGAACTTATGACCCTGAGATCAGCATGCTGTACCTACTGAGCCATCCAGATGTCCCAGCACTGATCAGTTTATTTTATTATTTTTTTAATGTTTATTTTTGAGAGGGAGAGTACAAGCAAGGGAGGGGCAGAGAGAAAGGGAGAGAGAGAATCCCAAGCAGGTTCCACAGTGTCAGTGCAGAGCCTGATGTAGGGCTCAAACTCACAACTGTGAGATCATGACCTAAGCCGAAGTCAGACACTTATCTGACTGAGCCACCCAGGTGCCCCAATCACTTTAAATTAAGAGATTAATTTAATCCTCAAAACAGACTTATGAGATGGGGAATCTTCTCCCATTTTAAAGATGGAAAAACTCTGAGAAGTTGGGTATTAAACCCAAGGTGCACAGATAGTGGGTGCCAAAACTGGGATGCAAATCCATTTAGTTTGGCTCCAGAGTAAGGCACACTCTTAGCCACATCACTGGATTGTCTTCTACCTGTGCCAGCTGAGTCTCATCTATGGCAGGATTTGGACTAGTAACAGAGATGCAGGGACTAGGGCAGAATGTTCTCTAAACATTCCTCTGATAGCACCAGGAGGAGCAGACAGGGGGAAGAGAGGCCCTTGTGCACAAATTCCACACTTCCCAGCTTAGTCAGCATGATTAAGAACATGGCCTTGGCATTTAAAATGCAACAGTAAACAAAACAAAGACCCTGTCTTCATGGAGCTGACATTATGGTGGGGAGACAGCCAATAAACAAATAGGAAAATAAATATAGAGAATAAGAGAACATTGGCACCAAGCACTGTGAAGAAAAACAAAACTTGGCAAAGGATTAGATAAGGGATGAGGTAGTGGAAAGACCTTTCTGAGGAGGGGACACCTGAGTGGAGATCTGGTGGAAATGAGGCAAGGAGCTATGTTGATATCTAGGGAAAAGAATGTACCAGGTAGAGGAGGCAAGTGCAAGAATTGTGAGATGCGATGCATTTGGAGTAATTAAGAAGACAGTGAATCAAGCACAGAATATTGGTAGTTTGGAGATGCAGGCTACTAAGGAAATAGTGATGGTCAGGAATTAAATTTTAAAAAATGATTAGCACTGTACCTGATACATAGGAAGTGCTCAATAAATGTTGGCTGTTGTATTACTTTTATATAATCATTGTTATTATCCTAAAGTAATAGTGTATGGAAACCTCACTGCATGTGATCCCATCTCTGGTAACTTGAGTGAAATATCAGTAAAGATGGTCAAGGTAGTATGCTGGAACTGGCTTGCAGGGGCTCACAAGAGCCTATTTTATTTTAGCAGCTCTTTCCAACTCTATGTTCAGTGACATTATGTAGCTTGCAATCAGCCATGAAGGGCTTATTTACATGATGGAAATCAACAAGTGCTACACATCAGGATTTTTTTTTCCAGATTCCTAGCTGTTAAACATTTACCAACATTCAGTGAAAACAAATTTTGTCCATTAACTGATGAATGGATAAATAAAATGTGTTATATCCATAAAATGGAGTATTATTTGGCCATAATAAGGAAGTATACATGTTCTGATATGCTACAACTTAGATGAACCTTAAAAATGTTAAGCAAAGTGAAAGCAGCTACTCACAAAGGACCACATATTGTGTGATTTCATTTATAGGAAATGTCCACAATAGGGGCGCCTGGGTGGCGCAGTCCGTTAAGCGTCCGACTTCAGCCAGGTCACGATCTCGCGGTCCGTGAGTTCGAGCCCCGCGTCAGGCTCTGGGCTGATGGCTCAGAGCCTGGAGCCTGTTTCCGATTCTGTGTCTCCCTCTCTCTCTGCCCCTCCCCCGCTCATGCTCTGTCTCTCTCTGTCCCAAAAATAAATAAACGTTGAAAAAAAAAAAAAAAAGAAATGTCCACAATAAACAAATCCAAAGAGATAGAAAGTAGATTAGTGGTTGCCAGAAGGTGAGGGGAGAGAAGACAGAGAAGAAACAGATGACCACTAACCGGGAGAGTTTCTTTTTGAGATAATGAAAATAATGTTCTAAAACTGATTGTGGTGCTGATTACAAAATTCTGTGACTATACTTAAGTCCACTGAATTGTAAACTTTAAATAGGTGAATTATGTGATATGTGAATTATATCTCAATAAAACTTACAAAACAACAACAACAAAAACCATTTACCAACACATGACTGGCTATAATACAGCAGCAATGTTGTACATGGAAGTAAGAAAAGCACTGAGCATCCTCAAAGAAGGAAGAGAAGTAGACCAGTCCTGGTCTGTCTGGAAATAGAAGGTTTAATAAGCAGTCATCTCCTTAATTCTATCTTCTATGTTTTCATTATAAAAGCAGTTACTTAGCATTTATCATATTCCAGGCTCTGGGGACAAAAGAAGACTAAGACAAAACCTCTGCCTTTGAGGATTCCATGGTCTACAGTACCAAGAGGAGTGGCAGTAGAGAAAGAATACTGGGAAGAGTGGGAAAATTAATTGAGCATATCAAGCTTGGTTTTGAATTGGCTGCAGCCTTATTCCCTGCTTGATTTATGGGATCAATGAAGGAGTCAATGGTTGAGGAAAGAAGCGAGAAGGTGACCAAAAATACTCGTAAGGTAGTCCAGAAGGCTGCAATGGAGGGCTGCACGATAAGATGTGTGTTGATGTGGCCCCAGTTGCCATTTCCTTTTCATTCTCAGTTCGTAGAATAGTATGTGTATTAGTCATGGTCCCAAGAGAAAAACAGAGCACAAAGTAATTTCAAGAGGGTTAATTTACAAGGAGAATGATTACCAAGGTAGAATATAGACAAACCACTGGGACAGTGAATAAACTTGGGACTTGCAGCAAAAGAGAAGTCACCATCCCCAGACCTAATGGGAGAAGGAAGAGGAAGTTCACCAGGACCCAAAGGACAGGGGGCTTATATAGTAGCAACTGCCTTCAGAGGAGTAGTGACAGCTTGTCAAAGGACATCAACAGCTCAAGTTGACCTCAAATACCTTGAACTCGTTTTCCCTCCCTCCTAGCATGACCAGACCCAACTACGAGCTAGAGGGTGCTAGAGCTTGTTGATAGAATCCATATAGGTCATCCTTTCTAGGCAGAGAATAGCAGGGACAAAGAAGGATCTGTATAAGCTATGGGGAGACAAGTAGAGAATATTTGGCCCAGTATGGAACCTTGAAGAAGTCCCCTTATCAAATTCTGGATGCTATAGCTCCAAAGAATCTTCTGTAATTCTGCCCTGTTTTCTGTGTAAGTCTGCTAATTCCATCAAAACTGTCTATAATAGATTCTACAACAACATTTGCAGTCAACAGAACCCTGAAGGGCACT